AGGAGTTATTAAGCTTCAAAGTGGGCGAGCAAAATCGTGCCTTCCATACATACAATAACATCCATACATACAGAAAAATCCCGAATTTTTGGTATTTCTCGACGTTTCAAGCTTTCTTTAGTCCAAAAAGTAAAAATCTTAGAGCGTCGATTTTTGACCGATTGCCATACTTTCCCTCGGTTGTATATGTTACCTGCCAGACCTGATTTCAGGCCAAACTAGTTTATCCTACGCGTGTCAGGATATACTAGTTTAGCCTAGGATAATCTAGTTTGGCCTAAATACTTTAGGCTTAACTAGTTTGACCTAGGCCGAATTGATTTATTTACTACAAATAGGTGCCAGTGTAAAAAAAGGATTTTGTGTAATTCGAAATCCACCACAGCATACCCGGTGGTTAAAGTGTACCTAGGTAACCCCAATTGCGGTGCTTCGGTTAGGTTGGTTTGATTAGGTTAACTACATTTTTAGTAGACGTTTCCTTTTTTTTTCTTTTGTTCAAGAACTACCGTGAATCAATAACTAGTGACGTTAAACAATGGGCTGCCTGCCGGCAGCTCCCTTCCGGGAGGAGTCCGCTGGGAGCATGAACAGTCCAAAGTGCCGCCATTGGAGTTACCTAGGTACACTTTAACTCATCCTGTAAAAATAAATAAAAGATTAAATATTTTATATGTTACACTAAGAAACACAAACAAGTTCATTTTTAAGTTTAGTTTGACTTTAAAAGTTATTTTTATTATTTCGTTTGAATTTTTGGAAATATTTTCGAAAGTTGGTTACCTTTAAAAGTGCATGGCTTAATGAAAAAATACAAACTGATAAGTACTGATTAGCTTATTTTTATTTTATAGTTTTGTACAAGTGTTGTGTCACTTCTAATCAATATTGTTTTTTATAATTAAGTAGACTATGTTTGAATAAATATTGTTCATCTAATTGATTGCCTTTTAATTTTATTTTAACCATTAATATACTTAAATCAGGCCTGGCCAACCCACGGTCCGTCACGTTAAATTGTGTGGCCCGCTAAGCGATATTATATAGCTATTAAAACATTCGTTTTCCGTTTTGTGTATACCAAAAGAATTAAATAAATGAAAATTTGCATATGTCATTGTTATAATGCTCAAGTGCGAGTACGAACTCTTGGTATAACAGTGAAATCTTATTCATTTTGTATTTGTTTTACTTTTTTAAAAGCGCGTTTGCCTACATTGTGGCTCGTTGTAATGTTAAGCGTGATCAAAGAAATGGCCCGCGAAACAATTTGAGTTGGCCAGGCCGGTCTTAAATAATAAATCTAAATCAGTTCGGCCTAGGCCAAACTGGATTGTCCTAGGCTAAACTAGTATATCCTGACACTCGTAGGATAAACTAGTTTGGCCTAAGATCGGCTTTAGCCGGTAATATTTACATAAAAGAACTAAAAAAGAAATTTATTCTAAACGGATATCCTAATAGTTTAATCGATCGCTGGGAAAACAAGATAAATAGTAAAATGAATAATAAAAAATCAAAAAAAAAGCTGAATACAGATACAAAATATACTAGTTTTCCATATATAAAAGGACTATATGAGAACATCAACAAAGATTTACAAAAAATAAATGCAAAATTAGCTGTTTTTCATGACCATTGTTTAATAAATAACTGTAATATAGATAAAAATAATGTTAAAATCCTACACAAAGATAAAAATATGTATAATAGAAAATTTAAAGAAAGCCTCTCACTTTTAATAGCCAAAAATTGTATCAATAAACATTTAAGTGTAAAAATAAATGAGAACTGGATGAAAATATTATAATACACACAACATACATTAATGTTGATTGTAATTATCTATAATAGTTATGCTGTTATCAATAATATCTTTCTTTGTAATATGCAAATCAGTACAAAACTGCAATGCAGTATGTAACGCGGATATGGTTAATTTAAAAAACAATAACGTAAAAAATTGTCTACTTCTCTTTCGAGAAAAATCTGATTATGTCTAAGATTCTTGGATATTGTGAAATAGGTAAAAGTTCATTTATAGCAAATTTTAATGAAATTACTCCACTTATTGTAAAATAAGTTGTGTGCGCCNCTGTTGCTAGAAGCTGGGGATATTCCCAGTTTGATGAACGAAATTCCTGCATTAGCTGAAAATTTGCAACATTCCCGTTTTGACTGGCAATATAAAACAGTACCTCAAACTCATTCTTTCTTGGGTATGAAGGATAAGGTAAGTTTTACATTGGATTAAATTGATGTAATTTGAAACTTAAAATTATCATTTTAATTAAGTTTCCAATTTTTTTCAGAGAAGCACTTGGATTCGTGGGAAAGCATTAGGAGGAAGCAGTTCTATTAATAACATGTTTTATTTGCGTGGAAATAAAAAAGATTATGATGAATGGGCAAAAGCAGGTGCTACTGGATGGAGTTGGAAAGAAGTTCTTCCATATTTTTTGAAATCTGAAGGAAATACTGATCCAAACTTTTTTAATAAAGGTATTAAATAAAAATACTAAATAAGGAGATTAATTAAGGAATATTTAACCTTATAGGATATTATCATTAATAAAATATCAGAATAGGTATGCATTTATCTATAACATATAGATAAATGCGTACCTATTTATAATTATTTCGAATTAAAAATAAATCTGTAAATAGTTTTTAAATACAGACCTAACATTTTAAACAAAATATATTTTAATATGAATTAGTATTTAACAGTTAATTCAAATGAATACGAATATTATTTTTTACTTCAAATGCTTTACAAAAGCTTTGATGAATTCATTGTGCCACAGATCAGTGTTTTTTCCACCGCCGCGGGTTCGCAGAAAAATATTTAACCGTACTGAAGCTGGTACAATTGATTACGGGTGACATTTAAATAGTACAGTAATTAAATGTAACAAAGTACAGTACTTACAGTAACTCTATACTGTAAGTACTTTGTTACATACCACAATTCCAGATAAGCATACATAAACTTAATAAATAAGCATAATTCATAGTTACATTTAATTACTTGGTCCACGTAAAATTTTGAATAATTTTACCGGTTCGCGATCAGAAAAGGTTGAAAAACACTGCCATAGATTGTTTCAAACATAAAATTAAAAAACTAGCCCTGAACAGTGTAAACTCGTTTTGTAGAATACCACAACAGTGAAGGCGAATTAACTGTATCGTCTGTAATTCCAAATAACACCATAACAAATGCCATTCTGGAAGCAGGAATACAGTCTGGTTACGATATTGTAGATTTCAATGGTCCCAAACAAACAGGTAAAATCCAAGACTCATTATTTTATTAAATGAAAAAATTCTTGTAGTAAAAAGTTTTATATTTTAGGATTCGGTCTTCAGCAAGGAACAATTAGAAATGGTAAAAGGTGCAGCTCGGAAACAGCATTTTTACGTTCTGCGGCTGGAAGACCTAATTTAAAAATAATCACGAAAGCCTTCGTTACAGAAGTAAATTAATTTTTAATTACAATTTGAAATTTAAATTTATCTAATTATAGTATATGGAGTTATATTTTGTTTTATAATTTCAGATTTTAATCAATTCAGAAAAAGTTGCAACCGGTGTAAAATTTCACTATAAAAACGAAAGTAGAATTGTTAAAGTTAGGAAAGAAATTATTATTTCTGCAGGCGCAATTAATACGCCTCAGTTATTGATGCTATCAGGAATAGGACCAGCTGAACAACTTAAAAGTTTATCTGTAAGTAAATATATATAATTTTTCTTAGCATTCTATTTAAGTTTCATAAATTAATTGACTAATAAAATTTTAGACTTGATGATTCGCTATTTATTTGACCTTTTATTAATTTAAATCAATAGTTT